CCCCAAAACCCCAAAACCCCAAAACCCCAAAACCCCTTTGGTGAAAAAGAGGATAGAAAATGTATAAATATTATTAAAGAGTATCATCCATACTACTTTTCTCAATATCTTCAGTGATAATAGAGCTATTAGAGCTCACATTGTACTTATTCTTGGCATTCTTATTGTCAAGAATTGTCTTTGACTTCTTATTTTTCTTCTTGGCTTCTGAATATTTCCTTATCTTGGAAATTTTATCCTTAAATTCTTTGAACTTATACATTGGGGTGGGGCTCTTGTCGTATCTAATTAGGTTCAGTATTTTTGCAGTTGTTCCTAACTTCTCATTGAGCTTCAGCATCTCCATTTCTAGTTTTCTCTTTTCACGAGTATAGGCAGCGTTGAGTTTACTGTTGTCCATAGAGACATTGATGGTTTTAGCCATAGCTTTTTTCTTTTGTTTTTCTAATTTATTTAACTGTAATTGCTCAATTACTATTCCTCTCATTGCTGATCTATCTGGTCTTGCATTTGACAAATGGTGAACTCCTGTGATTCCTCTATCAATACTAATATTGCTCCCAATAAAATTTTCATTTAATATTTTGTTGTCTCCAAGCTGGTTATTTAAGTACATCTTTTCTCAGGTTTAATCTACCACCTCCTCTCAGAGCTTGTTTCATTGAATCTTGAGTATCTGGAAGCCTTCCTATTCCTCTAGTGCCAGTTCCGCTTGACTCTAGCAGTCTTAGTAGTTGTTTCTCGTGCTGACTTTTCTTCATCTGCTCGTTTCCTTCCTCATAAATTATCTTTATTTTCTCTTCAACCTTTTTCTCTTCATTCTTCCCCAAATGGATTCCTGCATATTTGCTGCTTTTATGATGCCTTTGAAGTGAAGGTGACTTTTTAGTCTTAGTCTTCTTCATCATTGCCTGAGCATTTATGAACCTGAAGAAGTCAATGGACTTGAAATGAGCAATATCAAAGTCTCTGTTCTCTTTCTTGCCATTCTTTTTGCGGCCTGTTCCAGCTCCTGCGCCTTTCCTGCCGCCCTTTTCACGGATGTCCTCCTGGATGATGGAAAAGTATGGTAAGTTATCAGCAGTTTTAATACGTGGATCTGGGATCACTCACACATCAATTTTATTTTAAAGTCTTATACAGCTCTTTGTTCCGCTGGCGATATTCTAGATCTTTGTTATCGTCATCTGAATAATCTGTCCCAATAGAATTATCATCTTCATCTAAATTATTCTTTCGATTAACGCTAGATTTCCTCATAGCGAGCAAGTTACTGCCTCCCATGAATGATCTTCTCAATCCACTTGGAGCTCCACCTCCTTGGCCTCCATAAAGTGTTCCTTTCTTAAGAGTCCCCAGGCCATGAACAGATTTCCCTTTCGCCATGAAGCTTGATCTTCTTTTATTTATTCCTCAATTGAATGTCTAATAGACCATTGGTTAGAACTCTTCCAGAAGATTTTTCAGATTCTTTATGGTTGAGTCCAAATGACTTTAGTACTCCTAAGTTGCTGTTATTCCCCTTGCCAAATTCATAACTGCTCTGATCCATACTCACTCCAAAAGTGTTCTCTGGGAGTCCTATAACAAACCATTCGAGTTGTCCTTTTTACCTGGAAATCCTATGATTGTTAGATAAAGTTTTCTTAGAATATAAAATTGTGCAAAGCTTCTTTAGTCTCGAACTATTGTTAGCAGTTTTACTGTTGATTAAAATTTAATAATATCAAGAAAAAAGAAAAAGAAAAAGATGTATCAAGGCTAGTGAATTGACTCTCTTTATATGCTTTTGAAAGCCAGTATGATCTTATCGCTTTACTGATGAAAACTTGAAGTGCTATTATACCAATCCAAATGAGTATTTTGCCTGAGATGTTAATTTTTAAGATAGAGATCTAAGCAGGCAGATTATTACATCTACTATTCTCTCAAGCTAGGAAAGTGCCTTAAAGTTCCTAAAGTTGTTTACCTCCAGCAGGAAATCCATTGAAGCTTGTTTTCCTTCTGTCTCGAGCGATTCTGTTTAGAGAAAGTTTACTCTTAGGTCCTAACATTTTTATAGTCGGTTTTGTTATTTATAATATAAATAAAATGGGGTTTTGGGGTTTTGGGGTTTTGGGGTTTTGGGG